TGTGGTTCCCGACATAGTGGCAGCGCGCTAGGGATGGCTCTCGCCAGCACACCGCCATTCGTCGCCGTGCCAGAGTATGCTTGGCGCATGGTACCCCTCAGGGGCGCCACACGCGGAGAAGATATGCATGAGGCTAGCCTTGAGGTGTCGCCTCTCCACAGAGCTTTGATCTTGCTATACCACCGCGGTCTCTAGCAGATCTCGCAGCTCCTTGTGGATGCACTTTCCTTCGTCGGTCGAGGGTTCAGGGGCCAATTGCAAGATCATGGCGGCCGCCACGACATTCTGGCTGGCTTGAGCGAAGATGGGTGTCTCCCTCTTGCCTTATTGGATTTGGTCGTATACGTAGCGTGCCCACGCCCGTGTGCCCTCAGCATCGAGGTGTTGCCAGCTAAGGCATTCATCGTCGCGGTGTTCATCAGCCTGCTCAGGTTCACGGGCCCTGGCTTGTTCTAGGTGCTCCTACTCATACTCCGCCTGTTCCCCCAGGGTGCATGGAATCGGATAGGCATCGTCCTCTGCGCCTCCTACCGCCGTCACCCCATACTCTGAGAGGTGCAACATGTTGCATTCTCTTGACGGATGACAGCTCCCCTCGGAATCAGACTCGAAGTCCGTGTTCCCTGGGGTCTAAGACAGGAGGTCATAGACAGACTCTAGATCCCACTCCATCATCCCCACAAACCCCGAAGGGGCTCGGCAACGTCGTAGGGCCATTGCGCCAGGCAAGCTCTCACTCGAAGAGTAAGATTGCGTCCCTCATGTCGGAGGGCAGCATAGTGCAGGGGTCCCAGAATTCACCTTTGGTGGCACAGGCCCACTCCCGAAGAGCTGGGCAAAGGCGTTCGCCAGCACGTCGAAAATGTGTCAGCTTTGCCCTGGCATCAGAGTCGACGATCGCGGGACCGGCACGGGCCGATCCATGATCAGGCATTGGGATATGTGGCGAGGCCGCATTCCCTTTGTTGAGGCATAGCTGACCCAAGTGATCGACTATGAAGTCTAGATCCCCAAAGCGCAGGGCTTGGCCGGGGAGAAGACCATTAACGGGTGCTGGCCCATCGACGTCGACAAACTCGAGGCTTTCGAAGCGGATGCGGCCAATGGGGGCTGCACCAAGAGCAAGTCTAACATAGGTGCAGGGAGCCATCGCTTCCTTCTCAACAATGAGAGTGCGCGACTGCCCCCTACCTGGCGCGCCAACTGTCGGTGTTTTGTAGATCGACTAGTGAATTTATATGAAAGTCGTGCTGCTCTAGGAAGATGATGGTAGCATCCAAAAGACACGAGGAGTTATACTGGTTCAAACCGGAGCCCTACGTCTAGTCTCAGAGATCATCGAGTGCGTGTTCCTCGCTTGAATGCTCTAAAGTTCTTACAATGGGGGTGCATGAATGGTGGAAGAGGTAGGAGAGCTAGAGCTAGGAGATGGACTGCCCGAATGAAAGCTTCGAGAGTCTGGAGATGAAGATGTTCTGGTAAGGGTGCCCTGGCTACCCGTATATAGAGTCCGGGGCCAGGTCACATACAAAGAAGAAGGTTCTCCCGATCGATGGGTCATGAGCCTGAGGGAGGGGGCCTAGCTAACTTGGCTTGCAAGTAGCAATGTCTTGTGGTGCTTGTCCCGGCGTGGCTGTTGTCATGGGCTTATGCCCATGTCGCGGCATGGTGTAGCATGGTGCCACAGTGCTAGTCATGGTGGCACTGTGGGCACGGTGGTGTTTTGCTAGCCATCCTATGCGGCGTGGTCTCACTGTGGCCTTCATCATCGCCTCCTGATCATCTGGGGGCGTCGTACAGGAGCTGGTAGCTGCCCCTGGATTGCTGATCGTCTTGCTGCCTATGGCCATGATCCCGAGCTTTGGGTCGTGGCCCTTGTTGGCTTGGATGGCCTCCTAAGTCAAGGCCACCGTCATGGATCCCATCCCGTAGTGGGTGGAATTATACATATGTCTCGTTGGGCCGTATTTGGACGGTGGGTCTCTGTACTGGCCGTCACCGCTTGGCGATGTTGTCTTGTCATCGCTGCGTGGCGTAGGAATGGCGTCTAACCGAACTATTGTCCCATCGGTCCTTGTGGGGTCAGTGCGGCATGCCTGCTCTTGTCAAAGCAGGCGCGCTTGGTGGTACTCGATCTCTCCCCGTTCCTCCTAGGGGTCGGGACGGCGAGAGGTCGTGAGTTGTTGCGTGGCGTGCGGCTAAGGCAGAGGGAAGGGGTCATGGCCATCCCATGCTTTAGTGCTTGCCTAGCCCGCGTAACTCTACTATGCCTCGATCGTTTGGGCTCATACTAGCTGGCGTACCGTGGGCCGTCCGGGCAACTAACTAATCAGTGTCTTGAGATACCCAGGGTATCATAACCGTGACAGAGGTGCTGCTCCTTGGCCAGATCCGCCGTGCCGCCACCTCAAAGGAGAGAGAGAGAGAACTCCTCGGCCAAATCCACCGCTGGAGGAGCTTGAGTGAGAGGGAGGAACTCCTTGGACAGATCCACCACCGAAGGAGCTCAAGGGAGAGGGAGGAGCTCGTCGGCCAGATCCGCCGCGTGGGAGGAGCGCCACCGCCTTTGGCCACCGGCGCCGGGTGCGCGCATGAGGCCTCCACCGCTACCGCTAGGAGAGAAGAGAGAGTAGAGGGAGAGAAGAGAGAGAGAGAGAGAGAGAGAGAGAGAGAGAGAGAGAACGCCGCCAATGGGAGCTGAGAGAACGAGAGAGACAGTGGAGAGAGAAGGGATGATGAGGCCTCCAAACCCTAACTCGGCTATATATATGTAACATGCTAACGGGCCTTGTGGGCTTATTTGGGCCTTGAGTCAATTTTCCGAGATGGGCCTCTTAAGAGCACCGCCGCTGAAAATGGTCTCCATTTTCGGAGGCGGGTCCGCCTCTGTAAATACATTTTAGGAGGCGTGCAATATCCGACTGCCTGCGTAAATAAAACATCTGTCTCTATAGATCCATTTTGTGAGACGGGCAATGGTGACCGCCTTTGTAAATAAATTGTCTGTCTCCAAAAATCCTTAGGTATTTTATTAGACGGTTGCATTTAGTGACTGTTTGCGTTAATGTTTGGGCAGTGCCTCGCAAAATTATTTTTGTAGTAGTGGTTCACACTACTCCATAAGTTATTATCGTTCATTGTTGATAATTAGCATTAGGTCTTCGGGTAAACAAGACAATGTTCATGAAGGCGAGTAGATGGCTACACGTAACTAGTGCATAAGTTATTATAATTCATTCTTGATAATTAGCATTAGGTATTCGTGTAAACAAAACAATGTCGTTGAAGGCGAGTAGATGGCTAGATGCAACTAGTACATAAGTTATTAGAATTGATTAATATATATGGTTCTGCATCTGGTCTAGTTAGTTGGAAACTTTCCTCTTCCTCCTTCCCCCGAGTGCCCCCAACGGGAGGCTCGGGGCGACCGCGCTGGCATCGAGCTTCCCCCCTCTCGGCCTCCCCTCGGGCCACCATCACCGCCCTCCGGCGTGTGGTGGCGGCGCCCAGCAGCGGTCCACTAGAAAGTGGCGCCTGTCCGCACCTCCCCTTCCCTCCCCCTCACACCTCTACCCCTCTCCCTCCACCCCCTTCACCTTCGGCGACAACCGACGGTGGATTGCCGGATCTGTTCCCCCAGGGGCCATATCTGTCGCCTGGTAGTGCCCAGGTCTACCGTGTGCCCCTCCTCAATGGCGGTTGGCAGCGGCTTCGTCCAGGAAGCTGGAGGCGGGACTAGGGCTGCATGCTTTTGCATCGGTGGCCGGATCTGTGGTGGTGCACAGTCCTACCGCACGCCCCTCCTCAACGGTGGCCGATGGCAGCTTTGTTCGGGCGGCCGGATGCGGGACTAGGGCTGCGTGCTTGTGCATCGGCGGCCAGATCTGCCATCTTGTGGTGCCTTGGCCTACCACGTGCCTCTTGTTGATGGTGGCCGGCAGCGGCTTCGTCCGGGCGGCCAGAGGCGGGACTGGGGTTGCATGCTTGTGCATCGACGGCTGGATTCGCTCCTCTACGGCAGCTGCTCACCCATGTGGTCGTTGTCATCCGTGGTTCCTGCCATGTCGTCGGCTCATGGTGGACTTCCTCACTGTGCTTGTGTGTGCCTTGTTTCTACTAGCTTTGGTATGTCATGCAGCTCTTGACATTGTCGTTGTCGTCTGGCTTTCGTAGCAGATGTTCAGCCGCTATCGTTCTCTGGCGGATACTTTGCCGCCATTGTCATTGGTCTCCTCTCTGGTGCTTTGCTGCCAAGAGTGTCTTGGCCGCTCCACTCTGCGGATACTTTGTCGTCGTATGGGGTGTCTTCGCTTCTTCTTCGGTGGATACTTGGCCGTCGGTGGAATCTTTGGCGGATGCTTTGCCACCGTTAGCTCTTTAGTCCCCTCTCTGGTAGATGCTTTGCTACTGAGAGCATGCGAGCCCACTTCTTGGCTAATACTTGGCAGCCGTGGTCGCTTGGGCTTCGCGGACGGATACTTTGCCTTCTATGCCTTCTATGTGTGGATGCTTTGTCACCATGGCTTTGTCTATCTTGTAGGCAACCTTTGCGTTGACCTCTTTTATTGCAGGCTCACAGTTGTTGGTCTTGGGTGTTGAGGGCACAATCGCTCTTTCTTCTTCTTTTTTCTTGTTCCTATGTTTATTGCAGGTTACTCACCACTAGCTTGGTGGTTTGTAATCTGTGCTACGAGGGTTCTCTTATAGCTGTGCCATGTAATTCACTCCTCATAATGAAAAACGGATTATATTCCCTGGTTGTGAAAAAAAAATCTGGCTCTGCCTCTCTCTCATAAGTCAGAACTGAAGGTGAGAAAGTGTCTCGATCGGCCCTTGATCCATCGAGTTTGAATAATTTATTTGGTCTTCAACTATACCCGGCGGTGCTCAAATAAAGCTGTCCAAACTAGCTAGAAAGTATCAGATGAACTCCATTCCTCACACTAAGGGTATTCATTGGCAAAGTAGAGAGGAAGAGAGGGAGAGAGAAGAAGAAGAAGATGGCCGCCACATCATTCCTGCTCACCATGGAGAGGCTCTTTAAGCTGGACACTGTTACTCGTATGGCCAGTGTGGAGCTGTGGGTGCTGCTGACGACGCTGCTGCTGGTGGTGAGGTTCCTCATTGACTTCAAGGGGCCATGGTTCGGGAACCCGCGCAGGACGATCGTTGTCCTCATCCTGGAGACACTGAACCAAAACATGGTGATCTACACCATGGGACTGATGCAGCTATCGGGCGCGAGGAAGGTGAACGACTACTTCCAGGTGTGGGCGGTGCTGCTGGTGACCCTGCAGTACAGCGTCAAGATCGGGCGCCCCTACACCAGGTCCAAGCAGGTCCCGTTGCTGGACCTCATGTCCTCCTTCTGGTCAGCCAATCTCCTCCGGGTGCAGACCTTCTACCTCCTCAGGTTCCCCCTCTGGACGATCTGGTCCCTCAACGCAGTTCGCATCATCGTGCTCTTCACCAGCACCGGTAAAGGAGAGACAAATAACCAAGAGAGCATGAGGCTGGTGACCGACTACATGAGCTACGAGGACACTCTCTCTACCAGTACCAGTACCAGTACCCTTGATGAGCAGGAGCAGAATAAGAAATCCGCCATGACCATGAGCGGGTACAAGTACCTGGTGTATGGCGAGCACCGCGTGCTTAAGGAAGTCCAAGAGGGCAGCAAGCGGGAGGGAAAAAGAACACTATCTTCGTGTTTCAGGAAAAGGAGACAGCAAGTAAAAAGTGAGAGCAGCAGCAGCTACAAGATTGAATTGAAACCAGATGGAGTCCACAAGGAGCAGCTCGTGACCATAGAGACGATATGGAAGGACGACAACGGCAGCGGGTTGCTGGGAGCGGGAGATGCAGCAGGCCATCGCAGGGACCTGTGCCTGTCGTTCGCGCTGTACAAGCTGCTGCGCCGTGGGTTCTACGATCTCCCGATACACGAGCACGAGAAGGGTCGGGAGGTGGGGAAGAAGAAGATGAGGAGGCTCGTCTTCGACTACGTCCTCTGGGACACTGACACGGGCCGCCTGAACACCGAGAGGGCTTTCCGCATCACGGTGGAGGAGCTGTCCTTCCTCCGAGACCTGTTCTACAGCAAGCACGCCACCGTGTTCGCTGGCGGGCTCTGGGTACCACTCCGGAGCCTGCTGCTGTCGCTGTGCCTGGCCACGGCGACGGGGTACATCGCCTACCCTGCCCGGTACATCCCCGAGAGGATGGATCCAGCAGACCGGAACAGGATCACGCACGGCGTGTTCATCACCCGCCTCATGATCGGCATCATCGTCCTCAAGGAGATGCTGGAGATTGTTCTCTACCTGTGGTCACGCTGGGCCAAAGTCCTGATGCTGTGCATGTACGCCCAGCTCCAGCATCGGCGCCCGGTGGTGGAGGCAGCCATGAGGTGGTTCGTGCTCTGTGTCCGGGCCTTCTCCTCTTGCTTGCTTTGGCTTTGTCGTCGTTTCTGTTTCTGCTGCAAAGCCAAGCAGACGACGACGGTCCGTCAGCAGAACCTTCTGGTGGAAGTGCATGGGACCGCCGGCCTGGACGATCACATCAAGGTTGCGACATTGAATCAGATCAGAGTCAGATGCTTGGACGACAGTGGCGGAGAAGGGATAGCGATTCATAGCTACTTCTCAAACGCCTTCGGATCATCCAAATCCAATACGAGTCAGCAGAAGGTGGTGTGGCCACGTGACCTCAAGGAGGTAGACACCCACATCATACTGGTGTGGCACATCGCAACCAGCCTCTGCGAGATCTACTGTCTCAACGAGGTCAAGCGGCTCCAGGCTGCCGGGCGGCGTCCGCAACCGTTCCTTCGCCGCCCCCGCACGAGGAGACCAAAGGGACCGTCAGCAGCGGCACCACCGGCTCAACAGCACGACGACGATGACGGCTCGTCTGAATCCGCATGGTCTGAGCACTACTCGACTGCAGTCACTCTATCCAACTACTGTGTGTATCTGGTAAGCAAGGCGCTGGTGCCGGATAATCGCCTCGTTGCCCGGAAGGTCCTTGGTGAGGTGATCCGAGAAATCGACTACGTCGTTGGTGGGGACGATAAGCCATGGGAGAAGCTTCTTCGATCCATTAAACTGGAAGATGTATACAACCGCCTTATGAAGACGGTCGACAAGCCCTGCAAGAACACTGATCACCGTCGTCAGGGAAGGAGCCCTGCCCCTGCTGACGTGGAAGAAGCAGCAACGCCACCAGATGATGATCATCATCAAGTGGACGACGACGACGACGAAGAAGAAGAAGAAGGCGACGACTACGAAGATCTTGACATTGGGTGTTCCTTAACAAGGATGGGTGCAGTGCTTGGAAAGGATCTTGACATTGGCCAACTTCTGGACGGGGTTCCTCATCCACCTGGCGGCCAACACTGGAGCGGCCAAGCACTGGCGGCATCTCGCCGGCGACAGCGAGCTCATCACACACCTGTGGGCGCTGCTTATGCACGCCGGCTATTGTGAGAACGCCGTCCACGGCGAGCAGGGCCTAGACCAGGAGGGCATCCCGGATATCAACCAGCAAGCCGCCAACTCATGAAATTAAATTATTATTATCAGTAATAGATACGAATGCTAGCTTGGGCTGCGCGCCAATGCATCCGTGTGTTCGTATGTTTCTTCTGCCTTTTCTTTGGTATATATGTTGATCGTACTGTCATTGTTTCAATTTATCAATTTTTAATATTTATGTGTGTGAATGAAATTTCAGATCGGTTTATACATTCAATAAAAAACGAAGTAATCTTCACATAGCAATCCATATAAAGTCATGCCTCGAACTACCCCTGTTCCTTTTCTAGCTAGCTATGTACGGATCAGAGCATACTGTTGGGAACTTGGATGGAGGTTGAATGTTGTCTCTCTTCTGCTGTACACGGTACGAGAGCATGTGCGCTTAAGAAAAAAAAATTACGGCCCTGTTCATTTCGCAGAAGTTTGACATATGTTGCTGCTTATGCTGGAATTACGTTTTCTTTTAGGAGATTGATGGGTTGGCCATTGAAATAGCCATGCCCACGAACAATCATATATTGTATAACAATACTACACTTCCACTCAAGAAGATGGCTCGTCCCAGGGATCCTCTAGCTGCACCACCAGTCCCCCTAGCTCCTCATGCCACGGTCTCGCTGGCAGTGAAGAGGAGTGAAGACCTTACTTCATCTAGTCTAGACACATACTAGTTAGGGTTTAGTTGATTAAGGGTGTGTTTGGTTTCAGGACAAGGGTGGGTGGGATATAGATATCCATGGATTTGAGAACAGGGTCTTTTCCCTGTATGCCATTATAAAGGTTTCAAATTCCATATGTGTCATTGTTGACGCAAAGATAGGTCACACCACAAGTGCTACAAGGGACACGGTTATGAGCCGCGGAGGCTAGAGTTCGCTGTAAGGGACCGTGACGCCTAAGATGGGGTGAATTAGGCAACTTAAAACTCTAGCTCTAAACTAAGGCCTCTAATTTCACATAGTCAAAACCTATACAAGAAAGTAATCTATCTAGATATGCTACTACGATTTTGCTAGGTGTGTTGCTATCTCTACCACAAAAGAATTATGCAACCTAGGTACCAAACCTATCAACTAGCCTATCACTATGCTAGGAAAGTAAAGCACAAACCAAGATTGCAATGTAAATGCGGAAGCTAAAGAGTAAGGTAGAGATATGCAAACTCCCGTCGACGACTCCAGTATTTTTACCGAGGTATCGAGAAGCGTGCAAGCTTCCCCCTAGTCCTTATTGGAGCCCCTCGCAAGGGCCAAGCTCCCGGTCGGGTAACTCCATGGATAGCCCCGGGCCTTCCCCACGCGCAAGTGGGTCTCCGGTGTGCCTTCTGGCAAGCCTCTCCCGGACCGCTCCCCGCCGTTTTCACTATCAAGCTTGCGGCCGAACTGCCACGGGCCTTGTTCCCTTTGGTACACAGTGGCGGCCACACCACAAACGCGGTTAGTGTGATCTCGCAAGACTACAAGCCCCTCCGATGTACAATAATGGTGCGTGCAAGCACCGAGTGATAAGAAGTATGCAAACCTCACTAAATACTAGGCCTAAACCTAGAGCAAGCACATAAGCGGTGGTCTAATCAATCTAAACACTTCGCAAAGCACCTACGCTAATCACCTAATGAATCACTAAGCACTATGCAAGTGGAGATCACTAAAATGATGTATCAACACCCTTGATATGTTTCCTCAGCTCTCCACCTCTAAAATGGCCGGTTGGAGGGTCTATGTATAAGCCACATAGAGAAAGTAGCCGTTGGGGGCGAAACCCAGCTTTCTGCTACTGACCGGACGCGTCCGGTCGTCCCGACCGTTGGAGCGCGCGCGTTGATTGGACTCTGGGCCGAGTCCGGTCACACTCGATCGACGCGTCCGGTCGCGCTGGCGCTGCTCTGGAACCTCTCTGGGGTCAATCGGACGCTGCACTTTGTGCGTCCGGTCCTCACTGTGTTCTTGGTGTGACGACGAACAGTGAAGTTCCTGCGTCCGGTCGCTGCCTTGCTCAGCGTCCGGTCGCTGCTGCTGACACCTGCTGTTGCCGAGCAACTGATCGGACGCGTCCGGTCCTCATAGGGCCACGTCCGATCACTTCTGCCGAGCTCATTTCTTCGCGGTCTTGTGTCCGGTTTGGTTCCCATCTTCATGCTTGGACTTTGCTTGATATCTTGGGTCTTCTCTTGTGCTTCTAGGGTCTTGCTTATGGTGTTTATCATGGGATCATCATGTCACTTTCATCCAAGTCACGTCTTGCACCCTATTGAACTATGAAACAATTACTTATAAATTCATTAGTCCAATTTGGTTGTGTTGGTCATCAAACACCAAAATCCAAAGTAAATGGGTCTAGGGTCCATTTTCCTTACAATCTCCCCATTTTTGGTGATTGATGACAACACGACCAAAACAAGCAAATAATAAAAATTTTAGAATTTAAAAACTATTTACTTACTAGGATGCAATGTAAAGGGCAAGGTTATATGATGCTAAGAGATACAACATGTAAACATCTTTGGAAACTTATCTTGTCCTTTCAAATGTCCCCATGTGGCATTATGGATTTAAGCCTCTCCTAACTCCATAATCCACTATCCTCCCTTTCTCGAACCATTACCACTTATAAATTACCACTTAAATTATTATGATCGGGCTTGCTTTTGGTCCACAAATTCTCCCCCTTTGGAATCAAACACTGAAAAGGAAGACATTAGTAGCACAAGGGAGGGTCAAACTTTGTGATCCTTTGTATGTGGAGTGGAATAGGTCATAAAATTTGACTCTCACATTATATAGACTAAGCTCCACCTAAATACATGCATACATATGATGGAGAATGTAGTTTATGCATAATTGGCAAATTAATGCTCAAGGGAGTTTAATCTATATAATGCATGGAGAAAGCATATAAATACCAAAGTAAAATCAACATGATGATATCGGTTTAAAAATACCACATGTGGAAACCAATTTGATTTATACCACTTGCAATAGGTGATGGATATTTGAAGTATGATGCTTAACTCTAGGGACTTTATTTTCCTTGCAATGAGACTACTACACACATGATAAGCTTGAAAAGGTGTAAGTCTCAAAGCATCCAACTTATAGAGTAACCTCTCCCTAAATTTGTGCACACAAGTATGGAATACTTGTAGGAGACATGCACATTGATTTTAGAATAAAAAATACCACTTGAAAGATGACATCACATGAATGTGAGAATCATTTTCGAAAGTGATATTCGGGAGAAATTATCTACAATTTGGACTTTGGCACATATTAGATGAACAATTGTAAAACAAGCTATGTACCGTGCTCCTAAACAATTTAAACCATGTAGGTTTGCTCCAAGGATTAAGAGTGAAACCGAGCAAGCCTACCATAAGATATACCTAGTGTATGCAAGACAAAAGATTAAAATTGCAAATGCAAACCTAGGCATGAAAAGAAACTAGATGCTAATTGAAATTGCAAGAGATTAAATCTAGTTACCTAACATGGGAAGGAGAATTTGGGTCCATAGTGTACACTAACCCACTTGGCAATTGACATGATCCAATGTGATGCACCCCATGAAATGCACCTATACTTTGCCAAGTCTCCAAATTCCCCGAAGTCCATCGGACTTCTCACTTCTCTTTTGGGATCCAAACCTTCTTGGTGCTCTTCATGTTGGAAATGATCTCCTTTAGCATCCAAATGTGTTAGGCCCCATTATTGGCTTGCTTGTTCACCTTGATGGCCACCACCTTGTCATTCTTCTTCTTCTTCAAGAGATAAGGTGTGGAGGCCTTCTTGTCCACCTTGTTGGTGTAGGTATTAGAGAGCTTGCTTGTTTGCTTTTTGTTTTTCACTTTCTTCTTTTCTCATCCCCCATTCTTCACCTTGCACTCATAAGACTTGTGGCCTTCCTTGTGGCACACGTAGCAAACCATGATTTGTCCTTCATCAAGCTTCTTCACTCCCTTGACGGTATTATCTTGATGAAGTTGGGCTTACTCTGTCTTGCCTTTCACTTGAGTCAAGTCCTTGGTGAGGCGAGCCACTTCTTGCTTGAGTTGCTCATTCTCCATTACGACCTCTTGTGTGCATGTTTCTACAACAACTTTCTCAACATAAACTTGGTTGCACAAGGGTGAGTCTAAACATAAATCATTACAAGAAGTAGAGACATCATTTTTAGGCATGTCAAAAATTAAACCTTTTTTTAGGTGCCTCGGTGGGGGTTGTATCGACGACTTCAAGATTTGCAACTTTATTAGTTAACTCATCACAATGTTTGCACATGGTTTCTATTTTAGCGAGCAAACTTTTTATAAGCATCTTGTGAGCTAGCTAATTTTTTCTTTAATTTTTTATTTTTCTTTACAAGTTGCTCATCATTGATTGTGCAATTATTTGTGTTTGCACTAGTCTCAAGTTGCTCAATTTTAGTAGATAGCTCCATATTAAGATTGGCAAAAGTTTCATATTGTTCAAGCAAAGTAGCATAAGCTTGTTGTGAGCTATCTAGTTTTTCTTTTAATTTTTCAAGCTTCTTTTGTTGACTAGTGCAAACTTTAGCAAAGTTAAAAAAAATTTGCACAATTTCATCATAAGAAGGTAGCTCATCATCACTATCACTATCATTTTCACTATCACTAGGGATAGGCTTTTTGTTACCTCGTGCCATAAGGCACACACATGAGGTGCTTGATGATGAGTGCTTGTGCCCGCACCTCTTGTGATGGTCTTCTTCTTCACTTGAAGAATCATCCCATGACCTTATTGATGTGAGGGCTTTGTCCTTGCACGCCTTCTTCTTTATCTTGGGTGTGGGCTTGTTTGGACAAACTTTCACAAAGTGCCCCAACTCACCGCATCCATAGCATCCTTTCTTTCTTTGCTCATTTCTTTGATTTGTGAAGATAAAAACTTGAATTTGGATAGGCACACCCTTGACATTGAGCCTTTGGATCA